AAATCCCTATTTTGTCACCAAAATATACTTTAATTGGTTGAGTATCCCCACATGTGGAAATTTTTTAGGGAGTGATTTACGGAACCACAATTTGTGACGAATGATACACATTCTTTCATGCCGAGTATGTATATATGCGCGTGTTTAACTATAGGATGCCTCGATTTTTATTTGTTTATGTAACTTCAGTCAATTATCAGAAAAATGTGATTTTCTTACTAATTATAGTATGCATATGATGATAGTCATTTGTTATTGTTTGAGCTCTATATCTCTCTAAAATCAAGAGTTATCAAGTGTTTCTTTTCAATTATTTCATTGAAGTACTCCACATCAAGCTTATTAACGTGTATTAATTCTTATTTAGAAAATTAAAACTATTTGCAGTACCAGCAACAAAGTTTTATTACCAAATAGTTAGTCAAGAAATACAGTTAACTTATTATGCTCTTTACTTACCAATAGGACGTTTACTTAAATCCTATGTAATAGGCACAATACATGCTTTAGTAGGTACTGATATGTATGACTCTACGTATTGTTATTGAGAAAGTCCAAACAGGTTACTGATCGATAATTCTTTTTACTAAAAAAATCATACTCTCAGTAAACCATAGTAGAGCAGTGAATCTTATGCTGACCTTGAAGTTGGCTTTGCGTCAAATACCTACACAGCAAAATTTCATACTCCACGAAAAGATGCTTAGTAAAAATTGATTATTGTTGACTAGCTAGATACGAAATACTTTAACAAAATGGTTATAAAGAAATACTTGTTAACTCTAGCTTTTAGGGAGATATAGAGCTCAAACAATAACATATTACTAGCATTATACGTGTACTATAAGTGATAAAAATATACCATTTTTCTGATAATTGCCTGAAGCTACATAAAGCAATAAAAATCAAGGCATCCTATGGTTAAGTACGCCCATATATATATATAATTCACTGATTAGTATCCATAAAATTCTTCAAATGTTAAGCTATTAATAAAATGAGAACGATAGAATAATGACATATGCAACCGTACTACTATGCTTGGCTTCAAATCTAGCCTTGGTTGCGTTCATTTGTCTTCAGATTTATCGGAGTCGACTGAGAAAAAGTCATTGTTAGCTAGAAAGAACTGGTCTGCTAAAAAGATAATAATTATTGACAAGTTTATATCACAACTATATTTGTTTCTTAGTCTCATGTAATGGATCAATTTTTACTTTTACTTTTAAATTGCTGTTGGGTTCTTTAATTGTCATAAATTCATTGATTATTTCGATTGCATTTATGGGCCAATGTAGAAAATTTGAAAAAAAGACAAAATGAAAAGAACTGCGTTTAAGAAAGTGCATGCAAATTATTTTGACAATGATATGTATCGTTAAAATAAATGAAGCTTATAATTTTACTATGTCATCGTATTCATAGTAGTCACTGTCATATAGACTTTCTTCATTATCATACTAGTCTTCTTTTTTCTATTATAAATTGAAAGATCATATTTCATAATCTTCTTGTTAATTAACTATTGTATTAGTAAATCTTGTTTGTTACAGTCATATCGTAGAAGCTTTAGAAATTGAAATTATTTTAATAGAAAACTCTAACAAGATCACTCCTTTGATTAATTATCAAATCTTATATATGCATACAAACTAAATTTTTTACATAGAATTTTTTTTTGTACATTACGCTTGAACGAATCTGCATCATCGACATGCTTTCAATAGTAGTATTATAACAAAAAACTCATCGTCTCAAGGATTAAATATTCGATCAATACCATTGGTCAAAATAGACAATCAAATATAATTAATGTTTCATTCTCTATTTGCTTTAGATCTGAAACAGTAATCGTTTCTGAAATTTCCCATGAGATTTCCAACTTTTCTTATATTAAAAAGTCTTTATTGATTACTGATGTTTTTAGTACAAGGATTTATTTTGTTTTGGAACATGCTTGAATTTATTGAGATCAATGCTCACAATGATTTACTCGTTAGGTAAAATTATAAATCATATATATTATTAATATATCATAGCATATATGTCTTGTTGTTTTCAATAGTTCTTTTCAACTAGCAATATATACGTAGAATTCCGCGCGTGTATACATACATAAAACATCAAATATAATATAATGATATACATACCAAATAGAAAATGAAAAATAGAGTGCAAACTAATAGGCATTAAACAAGAAGAAGAAAAAAATGAGTCATATGACTAGAACTATGCGCATACATGCATGTTAAACGATAAATCTCCGGTATAATAAATCAACAAAGAAAAAGAAAAGAAAAACCAAGAATAAACACATATGTCCATCAATTTACAAACCGGAACAAATCGCATATATAAACATACACATACACACAAAATAAACACTGTACGAACAAAAAGAAAAAAAACCAGAAAACAAAATGACGGGTTCGAGCTATTGCAAATGAGAAAGAACAAAATGTAGAAGTAAAGAATATTACATGATTTTTATTAAGTATTTATTTTCTATGTAAAATTTTTATCAATAAAATCAAGAAAACGTCGTGCATAAATTTCTGGTTTAACTGTAGATATTCCATCAGCATCTGAACCAGATAATTTTGTTTTAGCAACATGTGCACTTTTCTTTTTCATACCATAGTATGTTAATATATCAATTAAACCGAGACTATACAGTTCACGACGTGGTGATGCTATTTAAAAAAAAAAACAAATAATAAAATTAAAATTTTATTATTATAAAAGAAAAAAGTCTAATAAATTACTTTCTGCACTTCGCATTATAAATGGTTCATCAGATGAATAATCATCACCAATTTGTCCTGGACTTTCTATGAAAAGACTGAATATGTGAATATGTTTCACAATAAAAA